TTATCCACAGAGATGTCTAGCCTTTGCCCTCAGCTCCTGGGAGGTGATCTCTAAGCCCTTGGAATGTTCCGCCTGATAAGAGTGTCTTTGTTTAATCCAGGGCCTTGGGCTATGCCAAGTGGTCTATGCTGACAGTGTGATTTATGGTGGGTGCTTCTGGCCACAAGGAGTCCTGGTGGTGCAGTGGTGAAAGCAGTCAGCTGCTAACCAAAAGGTCAGCAATTCAAACCTACCAGCAGCTCTGCAGGAGAAAGATGTGGCTGTCTGCTTCTGTACAGATGTACAGCCTTGGAAACTCTATAGGGCAGTTCTGCTCTGTCCTACAGGGTTGTTATAAGTTTCAATCAATTTGATGGCAGTGGGTTTTTGTTTTTGCTTTTGGCCACTTGGTATCATCTTGACTCTGGGGGGGTTGGAGACTGAGGTCAGCCATGTATGTGGTCAACCACATCTATGTGACTGAGTCCCAATAAAACTCTGGACAAAGCTTGGATGAGCTTCCTTGGTTGACAATACTCCATGCGTACTGTCACACACTGGTACTGGGAGAAGTCAGCACTGTCCATGACTTCACTGGGAGAAGGCAACTGGAAGCTTGCACTTGGAACTCTCCTGCACCCTTCCACATGTGCCTTTTCCCTTTGCTGATTTTAATTTGTATGCTTTCATTATAATAAACCATAACTGTGAGTATAACAACTTCCAGTGAGGTCTGTGAGTCCTTCTGTGAATTATCATGCCTGACCATGGTCTTGGGAACTCCTGAAATTGCAATTGGTGTCAAAAGTGAGGGTGGTGTTGGGAATCCACCAGAATTGCAGTTGGTATTAGAAGTCAGAATGGTCTTGGGAGCTCCCACACTCTGTAGGTGTGAATACCAGATGGTGAGGATCATTGGAGATCATCTTAGGGGTGACTACCATAGTTGTTCATAGTCTTCTCTTATTATTCTTTTAATATCTATAGAATCTTTAATGATGTTACCTCTCCCACTGCATACTTAGGTAATTGTATCTTCTTTTTTTTTTTCCTGATCAGTTTGGCTAGAAGTTGGCCAATTTTATTGATCCTCACAAAGAATGATTTTCTCTATTGTTTTTCTGCTTTCTATTTTATTGATTTACACTCTGATCTTTACTATTTCCTTTTTCTACTTACTTTGGGACTCATTTACTGTTCTTTTTCTAGTTTTGTAAGGTGGAAGCTGCTGAGGTCCTTGATTTGGGACCTATCTTCTTTTCCAGTAAAGAGTTTGATGCTATAAATTTCCCCCTAAGTACTACTTTAATGGCATCCAGCAAATTTTGACACTTTCATTCCACTTAAAATACTGTCTAGTTTCTCGTTTGATTTCTTCTTTGACCCATGGGTTATTTAGAAGCGTTTTATTTAGTTTCCAAATACTTCAGGATTTTCCAGTGATCTCTGTTACTGATTTCTAATTTAGTTCTGTGTGGTCAGAGAATATACTTTATATGACTTAAATCCTTTTAAAGTTATTAAGAAATAGTCTATGGTCCAGAATATGGTCTATCATGGTAACTGCTCCACGTGCACTTTAAAAGATATATATTCTGCTCTTGTCAAGTGGAGGGTTCTATAAATGTCAGGTCGAGTTGGCTGATATTGTTGTTTAAGTTTTCTATATCTGTACTAATTTTCTGTTGTACACCACATTTTTAAAAGGAATTATATCTTTATTAAAAATGCAATATTTATAACCAAACCTAAGCATTACTGTATTTTTCAGTTTAAATTTTATTTTCAATTGATTTTTAAAAATTTTATTGTTGTAAAATATACATAACAAAAAATTACCCATTTTAACTATTTTTAAGAATAAATTCAGTGATGTCAATAAAATTCACCATGTGGTGCGACCATTGTCGTGTGCTGCCAAGCTGATTCTAGCTTATAGTGACCCTATATGACAGAGTAGAACTGCCTTATAGGGTTCCCTAGACCATAATCTTTACCGTAGCTGGTTGCCAGGTCTTCTCCCCCATGGAGTGGCTGGTGGGTTCTAACCACTCACCTTTCAGATAGCAGCCAAGCACTTAACAGTTGCTCCACCAGCGCTCCTTGGTGCAACCATTACCACTATCTATTTCCAAAAGTTTTTCATCACCCCAAACAGAAACTCAGTACCCCTTAAGCAATAACTCCCCAATCCCTGGTAACCACTAATAAACTTTTGTCTCTATATATTTGTCTATTCTAGATAGTTCATTTAAGTGGCATCATGAAATATTTGCACTTTTGTGTCTGACTTATTTCATTCGGCATAATGTTTACAAAGTTCATTCATGTTGTAGCATATATCAGAACTTCATTTTACTTTATGGTTGAATAGTATTCCATTGTATGTATGTACCATATTTTGTTTATCCATTCATTTGTTGATGGACGCTTGCTTGTTTCTATGTTTTGAATATTGAATTATTTTCATTTTATTAAAATATTTTTCTTCCTCCGGCTAAAAGTTCAGAGATCCACCACCACCAGTATCTCCCTCCCACATGCAGGTGTGAACAGGTGTATACATGCAGGCATGTGCATGCACATATACACACACACAGTCACAAATTTAGAAATCACAGAACTGGAATGAACTGAAGAATCTGATTGTGATGCTGTACCTTTGAACAAATTTTGTTGTTGGATAAAACACTTTTGAAACTGGGTTATTTTATCTTTCTTTGTCTAACTTTGTAAGCTACTTAATTGCAAAATGTGTTTTTATTCACAGTGCCTCTTAATATTTCATTCTTTATACCAAGTCATTATTCCACTACCAACAAGACAAGAAGCAATATCTTTAATAGAATGGAAGAAATGCAGGTGTTTCTAGTATAATGCTGTTTACAGGTGTTCCCACTTTGTCAGGATCTATAAACCGAAAAACCTTGCATCCTACAAAATTGTGTATAAAAACAACAAGGATTATGGAAAAAATAGGATAGGGCCATAACACTCAAAATGTATTTAACTTTGTAACCAGAGTGCTGATAAAAATAATAATTATCCCAATTAAAATACTAGCATTCCACTACCATTTGCACCCAGCATCACAGTCGATTTTCGCAGCCTTAAATGTCAAGATGAAGGTTTCTGGGGCATCCGCCTCCAATAGAGAGCAGTGTCATTAAAATTTAAAATCTGCTCTGCATCTGTACTTTCTTCAACAATAAACTGCTTTTAAGCACAAGGGAAATATCTTCTCTGATCCTTCATCTATTCTTACAGCGTCACCACATACCTTTATGTTGTAGGGAGGACACCAGTTCTTGAAGCCATTAAACCAGCCAGTAGTTGCACTAAGGGAAGACACTGCAGTGCATGCTTAGCTTATATCTTAAGGTCTTTATATATAGCTAAGGCTTCCTTCTTTAACTATGAGAAAGCTTGCTCCTGAACGCTTCAAACTATTGATTTGCTGGGATAAAAATGACACCATTTTCTTATCAGGTATTAATTTGCATTACAGAGATGTGTCGCAGCTGAATAGTTCTCTAATCTTGAAATGCATAATTTTCATAGTCATTTTTCTGGGCAGCAATCATAATTGGGATTTAAATCTCCTTCCTCCTAGAATCATTCAACAAATATTTACTGAGCACCTATTATGTTCCAGAGTCCATTCTAAATGCTGGAGACACGGTGGTAAGTACGACAGACAAGGTCCCTATTTCTATGAACCTTACATCCCAGTAGGGGATACAGACAATAAATATGTAAATCAATAAATATTTATTTATGTTGCAGTGAAGAAAATAAAACAAGTTGCTAGGCTGTGGAATAAGACAGGGGGCTGGGTGGCTACTGGGCAGAGAAGCTGCTTTAGAAGCTCCCTTTATCGGGGAAACCCTCTCTGAAGAGGTGACATTTGGGCCAAGACCTATAAGATGAGAAAGAACTAGTCATGAGAGATCTGGGAAGATTTTTCAGGCAGAGGAAACAGTAAGGGAATAGTAACTGCAAAGGCTCTGAGATGGGAGTACACTTGGTGTGTTTGAGGATCAGAATGAAATGTGGCTGGGGCAGCTTCAGTGGTACACTCAGGACAGAGTGCCACACATCACTGTCATGCAGAGGTTGACCCCAAAGACCAAGACACTTTTTCTTAAAATTCAATTTACTCCATGCTTCAAATGGCCAGTGGCACTCCAAATACAACTGACCCTTATTTGAGTGCCAAGTCTAGGTAATGGAGCACCACATACTTGATCATCACGAAGTGTAAGGCTGGAACGGGGCTGGACAGGTTTGGCCTCTCTGAGGGAGTTGTTGAAATCCAACTGTGGGTCCCAGCCAGACATCAGCTTTGGGCAGGGAGAAGGGGCTGGAGAAGGGCTTCTCAGGAAGCAGCCTGGGACAGCTGGGGTAGGATGAGGATACAGATTGGTGGGGTTGGAGAGATGGGGTGGGCCCTGAGGGAAGGATTGACTAGCTGCTAAGGCAAGATTCTGCAAGTCCCTTCATAAAAAAGTCACCATTTTGCTTTCTTCTTTTTTTGCCATTTCTGGGAGCCATAGACACTTATGCTGATGAGCCAGTGACTTTCTAGCCAGAACGCCTAGGTAACAGGGCTTCATGGATTTTGCAGAAACCCTAGCCCCTAGACTGGTTCCACTGTGCCTTCCAAGAGCTTTCATGTTGCTTTGAAAATTTTGTCTACATGCTCTCTGTTTTTAATAAAAATACCTAATATTCTCAGAAGGACTGTACACATCTTCATGGGAAGAGGCTCTTCACTCTCTTCTTTGGATACTCTTGTAGTGATTGGCAAAATATTAGGCTAAATCTTTCTCTTTCTCAAGAGGGAATTATACTTCAAGGCCAGGAGGATTTCAGGGGGAACTTCTCGTGTGGCATAGTGCCACAGTAGGAGACAAGCTCTGCTGATACCTGCCAGCAGCCTGTGGTGCTAAAATGGTACCAGCACTCCGAGGTTCACAACTCACACCATCGGAGATTAACACTAGGCATGCGCTGCTTACCTGTTCTTTCTGCAGCGAATTGTGAAGGCAAGAAAGAAGAGTATCAGAAGAAGTCCAATGCTGAGAAAAGTCCAAACAATGCCCACGAGGACTGGAGACACCGGAGAGATGGTTTTACTGCTCTCGGAAGAGGTCTGAGAATAGAATAAGGCGAAGCTTTTAGGAAAAGAACAATCTTCTATAGATCAAATATGAACGGCCCATCATCACCAAAGCTGGGAAACACATATCCAGGATGAACAGTACCCCTCTTCTTTCTCCTCACGACTCCTTCTCCCCCAACCCCACCACCATCAACAACCAGTATACCTAAGCACTCTGATACTCCAGAGCTGCTTACTTACAACTGTTGTCCTGCAAAGATCCTGAAAGGGTCTCTGATCCAGCTCCTGGCCAGGAAAACTGTCACAAAATCCAGAGCAGTTTATTTCAGGCTCCATGTCACCACATGCCCCTCTTGGTGTGCGATTATTCACAGTCTTGGTTACCCCCTGATAAGGACGCAGATCTTCGATTAAACCACAACAGCAACGCAAACCTTTTCTTCAGAGGCCCCATGTTGGAGCGGACTCCTGGCTCAGAATCCAAGATGAACGACCCATTCAGGTGGAAGCGAAGGGTTATTGCACTAGGCTCCTTCATCAGACACCCTCCATGCTCTCTTGGTCTCCCGCTGCCGATGTGCACCACGTGAGTCAAGAGTAGGCATCTTGGAAATCATTTGGTTACACAAAAGGATGATTCTGGCTTGCCACCAGATGGCAGTCACTGCTCCAAGTACTCTCACGCCGGTCCCTGAAGGAAGGAAAGCAATTAAACCTGTTAACAAATTGACATATGTTTATATATCTATACCTATACATACATGGAGCCCTGGTGGCGCAGTGGTTAAGATCTTAGCTGCTAACCAGAAGGCCAGCAGTTCGAATTCACCAGCCAACCCTATGGGGCAGTTCTACTCTGCCCTACAGGGTCGCTATGAGTTGGAATCGACTCGACAGCAACGAGTTTGGCTTTTTTAAATACATATACATGTATATACACACAAGGGCACATGTAAATGATTTGTTGTTGTTGTTGGGTGCCACTGAGTCGATTCTGTCTCATAGCAACCCCATATGACAGAGTAGAACTGCCCCATAGGATTTCCTAGGCTATAATCTTTATGGGAGCAGATTGCCAGGTCTTTCTCTCACAGAGTCGCTGCGTGGGTTTGAACTCCCAACCTTCAGTTAGCAGCTGAGTGCTTAACCGTTGTGCCACCAGTGCTCCTAATGACTTATTATAGATACTTAAAAATATTTTATATATTTTAATTATATATAGTTATATTTTTATTATATATAGGAGCCCTGGTGGCACAGTGGTTAAGCGCTCAGGCTGCCAACGAAAAGGTCGGCCATTCAAATCCACCAGCCGTTCCTTGGAGTCCCTATGGGGCAGTTCTACTCTGTGTTATTGGGTTGCTATGAGTTGGAATCGACTCCAGGGCAAAGGTTTTAGTTTGGATAGTTATATATTTTATATATTGCACAAGCTTAAAATACATATATTTAAATAAATATTCATTTAAACCTCTATAACAAACAATACTTTAAAAACAAAGACAAAGCACATCTAAGAATTTACAGGTATAAAGCTCCACAGCCTCACTTCAGATCCTTTTATGGTCCAGTACCAAAAGAAATTTAGCTGAGACTTGTGAGGCACATCTTCCTTTTTTCCCTACTGAGAAATCCTCTGCCCTTCCAAGATCCTTCCATGCAACTCCTGGCTTACGCTCTGCCTGATCCTGGGTTTAGGCACTGGGCTCAGGTAACCCATGCTGCCTGTATGCCTGGTCTGTTGGTCTTTCTAGCTCTTTTTCTCTCAGTGAGTGGAAGAACACTGTATGTCTAGCCGGCTGGGGTCACAGAAGGATATTCATTGCCGAGGGATTTTTGTTGGTTTTTTAACTGTTAGGCTGATAGAAAGGGGTAGCCTACTCAGGTGATAGGGGCTCCAGAAATTCCCACAGAGTGAGTGAGTGGTAAGAGATTGGTGCTATTAGAAGATGCTTGCAATATGAATACTGTGATCTAAAAAGAAGCCCAACTTTACATAACAAAGGTGGAAAACCAGAAAGGCTCAAATAGCACCATTAGAAATGGTAGATATGCCTCCAATTCTATAAAGCAATCCATCCCTTAATAGGAAAAAACAGATTTGAAATTTTACCAATGGGAATTTAAAAGAGGATATCACTTCCACTTTGTGTTTTTGAAACAGCTTAGCACAGTGTTCTTTGACTGGGGAAGAAAATTGGAAGAGGACAAAAAATATTAATTTCTATTATTTCAGTAGCCACCGAACACATGACCCATGTTTAAGCCAGAACAATAGTGACAGGTGTAGAGGGCCATCTTCGGATTCTGCGTGTTGGGCATGAACAATACAGCCCCAGGTGCTGCCCGTTCCCTGGCCTCTTATATGTTCCTGAATTATTTACCAGATTCATTACAATGAAATCCCAAGAGAACTAAAAGCGACTATCTCCCATCAAGACATTTAAATTCTTGTGCAGTCTGGTCAGAAGAGTGAATGCAAAATTAAGTAGTAAATATAAAAATCTGACTATTTGCAGCCTAATTCAGTTGAAATTTTAATTTCTTAAAAGACTTTTTTTTTTAGTTACAGATCTCCTATTGTGTCTTTTAGCATAAAGCAATATCACAAACCACGGGGAGGACTGTATTATATGATGGATGGGAAGAAAGTGTATTTTTTTCTATGTTGCCCTTTTAATCATACCAGCTAATAAGTACATTTACATCTGAACCATTATTAAGTCCATGTTTATGTATTCTGACATCATATGGAGGTACATGAGTATGTGTATATATGTGTGTGTGTATAAAACCTCATTTACTTTTCACTACAAGTGCTATTTGAGGTAAACAATACCATTTCTTATTTTTAAATAAGGAAACTAAAGAGAAGTAGAGAGTCTTGTCTCAAATCTACAGAGGTAGGACTTGAATTCAGGAGTTTACATTCCAGGGTCAATGTCTTCCATACGTGGGACAGACACATGGACTGACTTCTCCCAAGGAGATAGCAAATGACCTGTTGCATTTCTCCAGGCTTAGTTCTAAGAGCTGCACTACTGGGGGTTCCCTGGAGTACAGCACACCATTAACAAAAACAAACAACAACCCACTGCCATCAAGTCAACTCTGACTCATAGCGACCCGATACTACAGGACAGAGTAGAACCATAGTGCATCTGTATCAGTGGCTCTCAACCTGGGGCAATTTTGCACCAGGGTCGCTATGAGTCAAATCGACTCGATGGCAACAGGTTAGGGGATATTTGGCAATGTCTGGAGACATTAGTGGTTGAGATAACTGGGAGGAGGATGCTACTGACATCTAGTGGGTAGAGGCCAGAGATGCTGCTACACATCCTACAATGCACAGAATATCCCAAACAACAAAGAATTATCAGACCCCAAATGTTAATAGTGCCAAGGTTGGGAAACGCTGGTCTAGACTGTGATTCCTAGAAAGGATGACAATCTTAAGCCCAAATCAGCTCTGGGAGACTCTGACCATGATGGGTCATCCATCTGAACCATAAAGTCCTGAAAGATGCAACTTTGACTTGGGATGAATTTCTGAGTACATTCCAAAAGTCCCCTTGGTCAGACTGAACTCACTTGTATGGAACTTTGAGTGCTTGGTCCCCTTTAAGTTCATGGATATGCAGCGTAGGAACTTTACATACCAGGGTACTGGGCATTCAACTCCAAAGCTGGCACACATTCTCAGAGATTCATACATGAGGAGTTAGTGAGACGGTGAATAGCTCAATTATTGAGAGAAAAGAGTTGAATAGTTTCATAAAGTGTTGACTGACTGGGAAAGTGGATGAGAAGAAGTGTGTCAGAGAGGGTAATGGTGAGGTATTTGATCACAAGATCAATACAGAATCCAAGGCACAGAAATAAAGGTCTGCCAAGCCCTGTCAACCCAGCCACCCACCAAGAGCAACCAAATGCCTATCCCTTCTCCCATATCCCACAAAGTCTCTAGGGGGAAATTATGTAGTAGCAGACCCAAGGCCATGCATGGTAGGGCTTGTCATTTATTTGACAGCGATTATAGAATTCTATCCAGTGATTAGGATAAAGAAAATTGTCACTGTATCAGCTACGCTCTTCCCAAGTTTAATATCGTCTTTTACTGGTTCCTAACCCTCAACAGCCTGATATCTCTCCATATAATCTCCCGTATTCTTCCACACGTTATTTCTGGCCATTAAAAATCTATCCATACAACAATTATCTATTAAAAAGTTGTTTTGCAGTTAGTAGAGCTTTTGCCTATAAAGAATTAATTGCTATGGGAATTGCCTTCCCACTGTAAACAATTAGAAAATCAGACAAAATATAAGAAGCAACTGTTTTCATACACTGGACAACAAATATCATAGGACTGTGGTTCCTGAGAGATTGAAAGCAAATGAAGTGAACCCTATAATTGACCAGCTAACTGCCTGAAGACAGTTTCTCGGACACAACACAGGAAGGAAAACCCAAACGGAGTCTAGCAATCTCACTGAGGTAAGGAGAATAGATCGGAGTTTGGGGATGTCAACGCAGCTAGAATTTGTGAGGCAGAGTAACAGAGAAGAGAAAGATACAAAGAGAAAGAGAATGCTTTGTAAACCTACAGGTCCCTTCTGTTTTTTTCTGAGTAGTGATCATGGCATGAGTGAGAAGAACTACTTGAGATGGGAGAAATAACTACTGGTAGAGAGTAGCTGAAAAATTCCTGGAGCTCCCACAGTGCTAAGAATACTTTATTTTCCCACCAAATAGAGTGGAGAGACCTCATGATATACAGGATACTTGTTAGAGTTCTAAGAAGAGCCATATCTTAGTAGTAGAATTAAATTAACCCTAGGCCAGAATCTGCTCTGGGTCTTCCCTACTAAAGCTTTAAAACAAGCTTCAAAAAAAAATTGAACTGATTTACAAATAATATAACTGCATGCCAGAATACAATCTGATGCTCTTTAAATGAATACAATAAAATTCAGCACTCAACAACATAAAATTCAAAATGTCTTACATCTAATAAAAAATTGTCAGGCATTCCAAGAAGTAGAAAATGTGACCTGTAACTGTAAATGAGAAGAAAATCAATAAAAACAAACACAGAAATAATGGAAATGATAGATTTAGCAAAGACCTTAAAACATCTATTATAAATATGTTCAACAATATAAAACATGAACAAAATGAGAGAAATGAAAGATATAAAAAGGCAAATGTAACTTCTAGAAATGAAATGAAATGAAAATTATGCTACATTAGACACTCCAAAAAGAAAAGATTGGTGAAATTAAAGACATAGCAATAGAAATTATCCAAAATGAAGCAGAGAGAAAAAAGGT